TATCCCCGGCTTGACCCCTCCATGCTAACCCATGCATAACCGACCCCTATCAAGCAGGATTTGTTCACAAGCTCTTAAGCGTCGGCCAGAGCCGAGGTGCGTATCTGGAACCTGACTCGGCTGGTCTTTTGAAACCCTCGGGAAATCTGTGCTCCAGCTCCAGGTTTACCTTGGCATGCAGTGCTGCTTACTTGGATTGCACAGCAGCCATACAAAGTCCAACCGCAAGGTATTCTCTGAAAAGGCACGCGCTCGTTCCCTGCTTGAAGCATCTTTTCCTGACTTGGCTAACCATATACAAGGATGACACAAAGAAACGCCTAAAATCATTCACGTGCAAAAACAACAGAAGTAGCAGTTGCAGCCGTCATCCAACATAGTCCCTTTGCTTTGATGGGCGGTTTTGTCAAGGGCCATACACGACGGGCTGCTTTGAAACCTTGTTGCCTGGAGAAGGGGCCATGAGTCAATGAGCCTATCTGCTGCAGGCTTTGCAACAACAGCCTGGCAATAGCAGCAAGGCGGAAGACTGTACAAACTTCTTTGAGACCCAGTGAATCAAAGCTGCGAGCACCAAAAGTCCTTCAGCGGGTGGACGCAGCAGGCCAAAGCATCAACCCGAAATGCAGCCAAGAATCGTACTCCGTGTGATCCCATTTGTCAAGGGTCAGCGAAAGCACGCGACTTACATGGGTTCCGAGACTTCGATGTCGCCCTCCAGGCCACAACCAGGACACGCAGCAACAAGCTTTTTGCAATGCTCGACTGGACGGTGCCAACCGACAGACTCTGCCTGGAACAGAGTTACTAAGATGACTTAGATGAAGTCTGTTTGAGAAAGCTTCGATCCTGCTGCGTGAGAGCACAGAACCACTCCGAAAGTGACGGATGCCCAGCTTGGAGCAGGGCCACAGACATGAGCGCAATCTGCACCTGGGATTGGCTACTCGGGCTAGCTTGCATGGAATCATACAGTCCACGGCCCGCGCATGTGTCATTCCCTGGAACTGCCAAGATGGCAGAAACCTGCCAGAGCTGCCAGAGGCTGCAAGTCACAAATGGCCCCTGCTGGATGCCTCGTCAGCCGTCAGCAATCGCGGCCAGGAGTCAGTTGCAACAATCTCCTGCAACCTCGATGACAGACTCTAGTTTGTGGACATACAGGAGGGTGTAAGACTTCGTGCGTCTCGCAGGAGGACATGCCACGGATATACTCACCAATGTTCTTCACAAGCCCCAATATGTACCCACCAACTGAACAAATAAAACTCTGCCTCGTGGTCTGCTCCTTCCTAGAGGTGTGCAAACTTCAATCTGCACAAGATCTGAGTTCGGCACTGGACGCCCTCAACATCCATTGCATGCTCGCGGCTGTAATTCTTTTAAATTTTAACTGTTTAATGTCGCAGGCTTACTACCTTACCTTGCTGGCTTGCTGCACTCTCTACTGCTCTGCCCATACTCGTGTAATGCGGTGCCATCCGCCCTTCTCTGCCTCGTATATGCCTTAAAGGCTCAGAGCTCAACAAGGCTGCAGAAGATCAGCTTGTGAACTCGTAATGCTGCAGCAGCGCGGGATCAGAATTCTGTGGAACCTGCAAACAAAACGCGCACCAAGGCAGGGCCTCTGTTGCCCAGTTCTTGAGCTGAACACAGTGTCTCAGTTAGCAGACGACTCTACTCACACTGCAACCGCTGGAACCACGCATGCTTGGTCAACTGACAGTCTTCAGCCAAGGTTCGTTGTTGCAACAATTCGCGCCCCCGAGTCCAGAAATGCCTTCAGCAGCTGAGACTCCAACCAAGCAAGTGCTGAGACATATAAAATGATGGAAACGCATTCTGATTCTATGCGTCGACGGACGGATGGTCAGATGAAAATGCGGATCAGCTCCTGATCTGCCCGGGGAAGGTAAGGCAGCCTGAACTAGCCACGAATACAGAGACGAGTGGGGTCGCTTGAGAGCCTGCCTGTGGAAATCAGACTTTGGAAGCTGACGCAGCCCTCCTCCGACCAATGCCTCCAGCATGGCTCGAGCCAAAGCTGCCCCTTGCTGCGGATCGGTTCCAGTACCGGCCTGTACATGATGACAAATCATGCATACTTTCGATCTTCTACGTTCAAAGCCCAGCCTCATCCACCAACACCATGGCTCGGGGCCCAACGTGCTGCACACTGGACAACATGATGCGAGACCTCTAGACAATGTTTTCTCCACAACGTCTGGCAGCTACAAGCATCATCTGATGCCCCTTTAACTCAGGACACTGCGCTACGAGGTGGGCAGAATAGGTGGACAAGTCATCGACAATGGTTTGCATGTCACCCACATCTGCCAGGACCACCTCCACAGCGTCACATCAGCTCCACCAGCTTTTCTTTGAGATCAAACAGGTATGCGCCATTGGACCCTCCAAGAAACGAAGTTTGGGGCTCGGCACAGATACTCCTTCAGAATTGGCGAGATGACTGCCGAGCACCAGCCAGCGCATGTCGTGGAGTGCTTGCAAGCTGGCTGTTTGGAATAGCATAACTTAGTACATATCTGCCTCAGAATCCTAGCTCATGGGCCCACGTCGGCATTTAATTTGGCAGGCTTCTGGGATCTTCTGGGACACCTTCTTGGCATTTCCCAAATTTCTTTGAGGTGGCTTTGAGGTGGCACTCTTGCAGGTTGCGATGTGGGTGCAGCTTCCTTATCTGGGTTTACGTAGATGCGAGCACATCATTTGCGAGCATCCCTGAAAGCTCTTTCCGATGCATTTTGCGTCACATACCCGAAGGGTTCCAAAACCCAGAAATGGGCGAAGACCAAGATGTTTAGACATCCTTCTTTCCATCGGTTTCTCAGAGGACCTGTAGATCACTGTCCATGACCGTGCAATGACACGCGCCAACGCTGACACGGCCACAACTACATTGGCCAATTTTTGTTTTGAAATGGCACCACTGCATGTAGGCAGATGTAGTCTGAGAATCTTTGCCAACATAAGAACGTTGCTTCTTCGATGATTGATTGCAACCTCCATCAGTACGGTACCGAACAACTTCACGAATGACTAACAAAGGCCAAAATCATCTACCTTCAGGACCATCTGTTTCAGCACGGAATGGCATAAGCGAGAACTCAGTGTCCTGCCTCAAAGAAATCTACTCGCGGGGACTCGCCTGCAGGCACCGGGATGCCACAGCGTGCCTGACGTTGAAGTTTGAAAGGTTCGCAGCTTTAGAGTGCACACGCTCAGGTTTTCAGGAGCGAACCAGCAACGCGAGCAGACCCATGGTTTTTAAAACCACGGTTTTCCCTCCGGCATTTGGACCCGTCAGGAGCAAGCCCTGACTGAATTTGCCCAGCCTTGCTCAACATACTTCCACCAATGTGCGGAATTGTGCGGAGGTGCATATTTTCTGCCAGCATCAACTGAGGAGGCAGCTCGAGGCGATAGCCAACGACCTCAAAAGCCAGGGCACGCAAAGAACATCAAAAACCCAAGCCCATGAATTTTGAGAAACTCCTCAGCTATGAACTCTCTTGCCGCCGCGCAGAATCAGACAGGGATTTCGTGCCTGGAGACTTGTTCCAAAAACAATGTTTCCGGTAGCAACACGTCGGTACGACCTGCTTCACATCTATGATTCCATCATCTCCAACCTTGGGCACCTGTCCAAAAAGAAGATCTTGAATGCAGGACTGAGATATGAGCAAAAAACCGTGCTGGTGCACGCCTCTCCCTCCATGTCCTCCCCTAGAAACAGTCGAGCACGCGCTAAGTCGATGCGGGCCGCAGCCTGGCAAAAGGCTAAGTCGCGGGAGATGAACCGATTCAAAGGTGGATGGTCTGTGGATGGTCTGGCCTTCAGGCACCGACGAATGTCATCGGCAGAATGAGACAGCGCCAGAGACATTGTCCTGCGAACACATCGCATGAGATCCTGACACTCTCACAACAAGCATTCAGATGTACTGAGCCACTGCAACACACTGCGCTCCCGAGAATGCGGCGAACCAGCAGCTTCAGCTCCTGAACCATGGTTTTAGACTTGTCACTTCATGCTGCTGGAGTTCTGGGACTCTGGTGACTCTTAGCGCCGTCCTTCTGACGGTCCAGGAGCTCATCTGTTATCGGAACAACCTCATGCGGCTCCACATAGACAGTACCTTCAGGTATAGGTATGATGAAGAAACCTTGGTAATTGCCCAAGATACAAACACGGCCTAAATATCAGAGACAGGAATTTTCACAGGCGACCTTACCCTCCGCCATGAGCGATCTCAACACTCGGCTGGTCACTTTGGTATGCCAAGCCAGCTCCATAAAACAAGAAGGCTTCCTGCTCAGGCTGCTCAGGTGAGGTGGACATTGTTTAAGTTGGAAGGAGATGTCCTCCAAGGACGAGTGGCTGAGTGAATCGGCTGACTGCTGGAAAAGCATGAGAGCCGTGCGGAACAGTGCCTTGGGCGTGCCATCCAATAGCCAAGCCTCCCAAATGCGGCTAAGCACGGCCCGTGGCATCCAGCGCACACCGCAGAACAAGGTCTGCAGCCATGGTAGGACCAGGAGTTCACAACCAACGCACTCCGTCGCCAAGTGTTTTGCCAGCAGGGGCAAGTCGCTTTCCAGCAGCTTCCAGAAAGCAAACGTCGCTGCACGCAGGCCCAGGAGTGGCGGTTCGAACCAGTCTTGCACGCCGAGCTCCAGCAACGTCCGCAGAAATGCAAATACGGCAGACTCCAACTCCACACAATCCGCCCAAGTCCCGGCCTCTTCTGCCACTGACAGAGCAAAAGCACATACCATATCTAGCCCTTGGCAATATCCAATTGAGGGGCAGGCTGCAGCCAAGGCTGTCAGAATCCGAGACAGGGTTTCCGCACGTTCCGCCAAGGGAAGAGGATCTACTGCTTCTTCTGGCCATAGAGATTGAGGAGCGTCCGATGACAGCAACGTTCTTGGAACATCTGCAGCAATGACTGAGCGAGCTTCTGCGAATTGGGGATGCTTCATACCCAGCTGCAGCATATCTTCAAAGCACATCTGTTCTGTTGGCATATATCTTGCTGCCGTGTGCTGGTGCAACAAGCAGTGCCAGAATGCCCAGCGCTTGCAAGGTGACAGATCTTTACCAAATCGTACGATGGCCTTCTCCACTCTCTCTGCACGGCAACCCGCCGACCTTGACAAAGCCTTGCGCCAGGATGAAGCAACTGTACGGCATCTTGCCAACAGTTCTGCCTCCCTGCTGAAGGCAACAATTTGGCAAAGGCAGCATGACCATGGAAGCCTGAGCCAAGATGCAGATCAACACATTCCAAAAGAAGGCCAAGCAATGCACGCCATGCCTGCACGACGTAGATTGGGGGGCTGTCAAAGCCTTGGAATGTAGCAGAATAGCCTAACCGCTCTTCAAGTAAGCTCGCGAGAAACAGTCGCGCCTCAACGTTGCAGGAGCCACCCTTGCGCAGCATCAGGATCGAGAGGCCTGGATGTCCCAAAGACCAAAGAAAAAACCTCATCAGTTGAATGTTTTCGCTTTAACCCATCACCTGCCCTTAGGGTCGGATAGGCTCAATCTTTCCCAGATTAATCAAGCTTGAGGCACGAAGCTCTGAAGTATTTGGCTTTACATTGCTCAGGATTCTTGTGGCTGGGGGTTTTCTTCGTGATTTTCGGTTCAGGATCACTGGGTACTGGGTTCTGTAGGCTTTAAGGTTTCTATGCTTAACGTTCTCAAAGTTCATGTTTTTTCGGGGCCCTCCTCTCAGACCGACTCCAGAGGTGACGTTGCCGTTTTTTTGCAAAGCTTTAAAAAGGCCAGCACAAAATGGTGCAGCCGAGGTGTCATATGATCTCTTGGGGTTGACGGTAGCTTATGAATTGACGGATGTTTGGCGTTTAGGTTTGTGTGGTTTACAATCTAAAAGGGTTTAGATTTGAAAGCATTGAGGGGGTTCCTAGCCGAGTAGGTTGGGCTCTCGCGTTGGAGATGTCTATGTTCAATTTAAGGCTTGTGAAGCGGGGTCTCAGTGGGGTTAGGTTTTCGTTACGGGTTTTGCGGCTCAGTTGTTTGATGTGGTCTGTCAGGCTTCAGGGTATTTAGGATTTTTCGGGCTTCGAAGAGTAATGTTTTTGAAGCTTTGGTGGGTTGGGCGTTTAAGGATTTTCGAGTTGACGACCTTTGGCGTTTTAGGAAAATGTTGCTTCAGGGTTGCCAGTACTTCGGATTTTTCACTGTGCAGTCATTGCTGGCTGCCATCGTTTGGGACGTTCATGGTGGAAGCTTCGAGGGGTTAGTTTTGGGTTCGGGGGTTCAAGCTTTTGAGCTTGAAGGGTCGAGGGTTGATAAGTTTTCGGAATTCGAGGGTTTATGGTGTTTTAATTCAATGCATTTTGAGTTCATGCTTTTAGCGGTATCTGGCCGTGGTATTTTGGTCAGGAGTTGCTCGGTGTTTAGGGAGTTTCAAATTGGTTGGAGGTTGAGGGTTCAAAATCTTTTGCCCGTCTGTAATAATTTAAGAACTCCCTTGCTCTCTTTTTTGCCTGCGCCCGGATGAGCTATCCACCTGCTGAGCATTCCAGGAATCCACATCCAGAAGCAACTGTACCAAGGAAGGCCTTGTGAACAAAGGTTGCCTCGAAGTACAGCCAGCAGCGAAGCGACAGAACATCACCAGATGGCCACAAAGGGTCGGGTGGGAGGGCCCTTCAACAGCTTCAGGCAAGCAGTCATAAGGTCATTCTTACTGCCAAGAAGTCCCTCGCTCTCTTTTTTGCCTGCGCCCGGATGAGCTATCCACTTGCTGAGCATTCCAGGAATCCACATCCAGAAGCAGCTGTACCAAGGAAGGCCTTGTGAACAAAGGTTGCCTCGAAGTACAGCCAGCAGCGAAGCGACAGAACATCACCCACTCTTACCCAGGTCGACACCGTTGCAAGTGGTATCTTTGTGAAGCCAGAGGCGGTACCAAGCACTCGTAGGAATCTTTGCCCGGGTCCACGATGCTGACTGCTGCAATACTGCAGGAAAGGCGTGCGCATAGAAAAGGACGTTCTCACGCACATGCGGCGGTAGGTTCGGGAAGAAGGTGGCCGCCGCAATTTCTTGAAGATAGATTTCCATCACTGTCGAAGAAACCCATCTACCTCGTCGTCGCACCAGTTCGGCGTCCTCTGTGAGCTGCAGAAGATGAGTCGCAGTCCAAAGGTCTGCTGCGCGAGCGCGCCGTCGGGATGCCCAGCCTGTCCAAAGCGGCATCCAACCTGCGACGGAGCGTCTGAGCCGAAAAAGGCCAGAGCCTCGAACTTGGTGGCAGATGAAAGAAAGCGACATCGATGAGCTCGACGAGATCGGAGGCATCAACTTTTGCAGCTTGGCGCCGTGCCGCACGGAGCCTGGTCTTAGGCTCGGCAATGCGCAGCAGCACGTCGGGATGAAGGTATAGGACGTCCCGGGGCAAAACCAGACAACCACGGGTCGCTTGTATTGCCTCTCCTATACGAAGTAGCGCTCCAAAAGCCAGGGCGTACACACCAGCTTCTGAGCGCCATCCCCAAAGCAAGTTGACAGTAAGCAGAGCCAGCAAAACCACAGCAGGCATTGCTACATGGTGCGACCCTGGCGCGAGGGCCAACCATGCAAAGGCGAGGTCCCAGGCAGCCTGGAGCTGCCTTCTAACTGTTGGCCTGCGTGCAGAAATTGTATTGATCGTCTCCGCATACCTCCAGTAAGGGTGGCCAGCGTTGAACAGTTCACGACCGTAGGTGACCAGCCACTGAACCAGAACCTCGACATCAGTGTCGCGGGCCGAAAGAGCTTCAGCCAGAATGGCCGCGCTGCTGAAGCCAGTGGTCAAAAGCCTCAGCAAGCTTTGCCCTATTCCCAGCGGTTTGCTCCAGAACAACTCTTCCTTCGGGTAGCGTGGCCCCAGCTCTGGACAGTTCTCTCTCTTGGTCCTGGCGATTACGTGGCCTCAAGGGAGGACCTCTCCAGAGTAGCCAAGTTACTGTCAAAAGCCTTGTGAGGCTCGGGCTGAAGCTTGTTCGCGGGAGGAGGCAAGATCGCCCAGCTAGTTGCCAGAGAGGTCACCAAGTCCATCATTAGGGCGTTTTGCTTTTGATGCCTTTCGAGGCTTTCTTGGCCTGAAAGGGCTGTCTGGTACCCCGATCGGTCCTCACAAAAGATGCCCCGCCTGGACCCACAAACGTGCAAGCGACGATAGGCCGTAACAGAGGCACACACGGCGGGAGGGCTGACTCAGGAGAGGCGAGGGGTCAGGCTTACTGGCCACACCTCGCAAAACCACACCTGCCCAGCAAGCGATCTGCCCGCTCTGCCCCCGACGTGGACCGGTCGCAGAGGGCGACACAAGTGTCAGGCACAGGAGGGAAGGACAGGGCCAGCTGGGCTCGGGCTTGAGGCAGAGGTGCAAGGATGAAAAGGATGCGGGCCAGACAACAGAAAAGGAGGCAAGGCCCTCGTAAGGACCAGCACGGGAGCAGGCGGGTCGGGGTAAGGGAACCTAGTCCTAGACAACCGAGGGCGAGGCTCTCCAGTCCTTGCCGTTGGCCCGACCCCGCTGTATGCCCAAGAAAAGAGCGCGAAAGCTGACCACACACCCACGCCAGGCCCCCAAAGGTTCGTAGAAGCGGCTGACTGCGCTATTCGGAGGCCCTCAAGAAACTGGAAGAACATCTGAACCCTTAAACAGCTTCAGGCAAGCAGTCACAAGGTCGTTCTTGCTGCCAGGGATGGCTTCAGGCTTGAAAAATGAATGCGATGGACGCTGAGGGGTCGCAGGCTTCAGCGTGTTTCAGTGCACAGTTCGTGGTCTGCAAGGCGTTTCGTGTTTACGGCTGTGGGGCGGGTGGCTTTCAGGGTTTTGAATCCTGATGGGTCTTGCGGCTTTGCCGTTTCTTGGCGCTTTGGCATCCCACTGAGTGAGCCCATTTTTGGGAATTGGGGGCTTTCAAGGCTTCGCATTTGCAGGGGTTTGAGGTGATTGATCTTGCGCAGATTAGATCGGATTAGCGTTCTTCCGGCGTGAGGCTTGGGGCTTGGGCTTGCCAGGCTTGACGTGTAACACAATGCAGGGTTTCGGACTCGGGCTTTCAGACCTGAATTTCAAGGAAGAGACGGCTGGTTTGGGGCCTGGGGCTGAGT